TCGATTAAGGGATTAGAATAAGGGGTTAGAGTAAGGAATTAGAATAAGGGATTAGAACAAGGGATCAGATTAAGGGGTTAGAATAAGGGATTAGATTAAGGAGTTAGAATAGGTGGTTAGATTAAGGGGTTAGAATATGGAATTAGTTTAAGAACTTAGATTAGGGATTAGATTAGAGGGGTAGAATAAGCGGCTAGGAGAAGGCGACAGATATAGGTTAGTGAATCGTTTTGTAGGTAGGTGCCGAAAACCTTTACAAGGTTATCGAACTCTCGGAAACCTCTAATGGGTTTCCTGGATTCGGAGCCTTTTTGATAGCTTTGAAGGGTTTCCAACAGCTCGGAAACCCTTTCCCGAAAACGTATAAAGGGTTTCATATAGTGACAAACCCGGAAACCCTTTATAGGTTTCCGAGAGTACTTATTTTTTTTAGAGTGTACCTGACTGAATCAAGTGAACTTTCACTGAATATACTCTGCTCGTACTATACATTGTGGTCCGCAAAAGATAATATTAGTTTTTGAAAACTCCATCCTCTGTTTTGCTTTGTTGCATGAAGCTTTACATAGCTTTCCAAGAAGTCAAATGAGTTTCGGGAATTAGATAACTTTTCAGGAAACCCGATCGATTTCCGAAAACATCGGTTTTATGGAAAATTAAATAAGTTTTCGTTGAAAGTCGTTTGATTCTGATGTAGTTGGCGTAGGAGAGAATGACAATGGAGCGCTAACACAGGGCTTATAACGTGATTCAGGACCGCAACATAAGCATAGCGCGCATCACTTTACTGAGGAGAGAGTAGAGGTACAACTACAAGGTGCATTACTTCAGGCTACCGCAAGGTTCCTAGGTTTTACTATTGCATTCCTCATGTCCCAGAATGTTAGAAACCAATTACTTCCAGTATATTTTGAAGATTAAACAACCTTCATGAGAACCATCCTAAAATATCGGATACAGAGCTTTTCGAAAATCATATGATCAGATGGGAGAGGGGAAAAGAAGCTCTCGAAAAATCATGCTTAAAATCACCAGGGGGACGAGAGGGAGTCAGGCGAGTGATGAGATGATCAACGTTATTTACAAGTTATTTTCAAAAACAAACAAGTTATTCACCTAAAAGAGTGTCATCTTTCGGTCAAAAGGCTCTAAATTCCGTTCAAAAATTCTTTTTCGATGCAGACTTTTCCAAAAACATATCAACGATCTAAGCTTGTTGCGAAGCTGTAAAATGAGACTAATGAAATTTTCCACAACTCACTCTATAGTCTTGTTCACTTATACAATCCATATACTATAGGCAAAATGGACGTTAGAAGTTGAACATTTCGATGGCGTTTTGAAATGGAAAGGAAAGTGTATGAAAGGAGTACTAAGAATGTCACGGATTGACTTTTTCAATCGTGATTCATTCTTCAGTGGTCTGAGTTATCAAAGAAAGAAATTGAACAAACCGGAAGAAGCAAAAAGAAGTGTAAGGTCCCAAACAGACTGAATATTGTTATGCATTAAATTTGTTTTAAGTCAATCGCCGTCCACACTGGAAGAATAGATCACCAATGAGAATGTAAAACAGCCTCTCTGATGTAGAGCAAGTGCATAGAGAAGCGTCGCTATCATACAATCGCATATGATAACAGAATACTATAAAATCAGTTCCTAGAAGTATAAGATTTCCTGAGTCAGTATCTCAAAGAACTTAACCTGATTTTTCAACAACATCTATATCAGTCCTCATCATAACATTATCCGTAGAAATTATTGTGACAATTTAAAAAAACTATCAAAATTAAATGAGCAGTTATTTATTTATCATAATGTAATAAAACCAACAGCAGGTTTAACAATTGATTGACGTAGAAAAAACCAAAACATTTTATATAACAGTGAATGAGAAAAACAAAAAGATAAAGACGAGACATATGGTATAAAAAAAATAAATAGTAAAAATTTACAAAGGATGAAGTAGAAAGAAATTAACAAGTGCCTCACGTACATCCGTACCGTCATTCGTATGAATGTTACATGAAGGTTTTTTGTGAACAGTATTAGGTGTATCCCAATCTATCTCGTCTTTATCTCCATTCATAACACACAGATTATGGAGAATAGTTGCAACTTTCACAATATTTGTTGTATTACATAAATTAAATTCCATCTTTTTATGTAATAACCTAAATCGATTTTTCAGAGCACCAAATGCTCTCTCCACCGAGCAACGAGCTCTGCTTAACCTATAATTAAAAGTTGAATACTTCTTTGGCATGTTTGGTCTTTCAGGAAACGGTTTAATTAATGTTTTGGTTAATGAAAATGCAGAGTCGGCAATAAAGTGACATCGAATTTTAGTATTATCCATTATCATAAAATGATTTTCATATGTTGGATCTTCTATAACCTGTGACAATGTACTGCGATTATAAATCGATGACTCATTACACTTTCCTGGAGCACCTCTATTAACATATGTAAATAATAAATCAGCATTGACTGTTGCAAGCATAATAATGCTATGATATATTTTATAATTATAATAATCGACTTCATAGCCAAGAGGTGGTTTGATAGCAAAGTGTGTACCATCAAGTGCTCCAATACACATTGGATAACCAAATTTAGTGTAAAAACCATTGATTGTATATTTAATTTCATCAGGTGATTTAGGAAATTTTATAAATCGGTGAAATAACATTTCGACTAGAACAGAACAAAATTCATGAAGATTTTCTCCTGTTGTACTTTTACCAATACCAAATAAATGGCTGATCGTGCGAAATTCACTTGAAGAACCCAATGCATAAAGTGCACAGGCTATACGTTGTTCAACAGGTATAGATGTTCAACAATCTGTATTTAATTTTTTCATATAAGGATCAATTTGATTAAGTAAAGATGCAAATGTAGACCGTTCAATTCTAAAGTTTTCTTTAAATTGTTGATCTGACATAAGTTGCACAATTTGCATCCACCATTCGCCACTTTTCTTAAAAGATTATATAGATCGAAGATTAATTGAAAGTGAATGATCAAGAATCAATAAAGTTAATTGAGTTTTCAGTATTTCATAATTAAATCTAAATTTTTTTGATAAATATAAACGTAGTAACGCTATCAGCACCTTCTCATTCATCTAAAAATACAAAGAATTATCAATAATGAAGAGATTTTGGTGAAATGGTATTCAGCCTAGATGTGTATCCAACATGATAGTGTTTTGACAAATATTCAAGCACCATTTTAAAACAAATAATATTCAAATGTTTCACAAAAATTTATTTTAGTAGTAACAAAAAATAAGAAAAGACATCAACTAATATTACACCATTGACTAATTGAAAGTGTTACTATTATAATCAACAAAAAGAATTTCTACAGACAATCTCAAAAAAATTCCTGTCAATAAGTGTATAACAAATACATCAACTCTACGAAGCACAAGTGTTGATTAATATATAAATACTAATTTAATAAACTCTTCAAGAATTAGGTGTGGTATTATTCATAATACTTTTAAAGAGGCTTAGAAATTCACGTTCATTAGCCACGCTTTGCGCCTGTAAATGAGTTTGCTTTTCGAGAAGTTCCAATATTTTAATCTCTGAGCGAGCTGCAGCTTCACTAGCACTTTCTATTTTACCGAATAACTCTTTCATGAGATCCATCCTATGAAACCAAATAGGAAAAAGATTATACATTAAAAAATGTTAAAACTTTGATTACTTCATTTCTGATGCTCGTTTCTTCTTTGAAGAAGCATTCTTCTTTGTTTTTAAAACCATCTGTACAGGACTATCTGATTTTGGAATCGAAATAGTAGCTGGAGAGCTTGGTGAAGTAACTGAATTGACGGAATCAGGATTATTTGTATCATCAGAATTAGTTTTTAATTGAACAAGATCGTCTGCTTGCTCTGATATTTGAGTTAGATTTAAATCTGGTGCTGATGCTTGATCAACATTTTTCACAACTTGTTCTTCTTCAACGATGATGAAATCGGATAGAAGACTATCGTCTATATAAGGACGCTCTCCTAACAGAGAAATAGTGTAAGTATGAAATATAAAAGTATTCCGTTGGTAAGAATATTGAAGACGTTTCCTATTAATGTACCTCGAAAGAATGCTCCTAAAAAGCTTGATAGTCTCAAAAAAGTAAGAAAATTATTCTTACCTAAAAGTTTATCTATGAATTCTAAATATGGCCAAGAAGATGGACTACCGCCAGTATGATCCATATCCTTTTTTTTATGACGATATTCAGTTGTTAAATTTCCTATCTTAGATTTCATATCAGCACCTGTTGAGTCATCAATTTCTAACATTTTGTTCAATTCATTAGCCATCAATTGATGAATAGGTGCATGACGAGATCCACCAGTTGTTAATTTAGGATAATAATCATTCCAAATATTAATAAAAGTAATTGTTTCATTTTCTGTCCAAAATCGACATTTTACTTCTTTTGAGCCTAAACAAAATAAATCAATCGATGATATAATTTCAATCGATATACCAGTTTCTTCAGTTTTTCTTTTTCTTTTTAATCGTTTAACAGGTTGTTCTGTTTTCTGAGAACATGGAGAACAACTTCTTTTTACTTTGGATGATCATATTGTCGATTTCAATATCGATGGAGATGTATTTGGACCTAAATTATCGATAGTTTAGTTTTTCCGATTGCAAACCGTAAGAGCTACATGAGCATGCGTTCCATTCATGTTCGAAGGATTATTACTCAGCTAAAAAAGAAACATATTTCTTCATTTTAAAGAGCTTTAGAACAGTTCTTATCAGTAGTTAATAAGATTTTTTTTAAAGAAATGTACTTACCAATACCTGTTGTTGGAATAATTTTAATATTATTTGATTTAATTGCTGAAATATCGATGGAAGATAAAGGTAAATCAAAAGATTTAGGAACAGGTTGAACAGTTGTTGGATTATTTATCTTCTGTGTCATAATCTCTTGAGACAAATTAAATGTTGAAGGTGATGCAGCAATGATAATACGAGATTGATTAACAGGAGTTGTTGATAAAATGTTGTTTGACAGTTGAGGCGAACGAAAATTATTTTGACCAAGACCAAGCGTTAAAAGCTGTGGTGTATTATTGGATTAAAGAGCTTTAGTTGGTGGTACAAATCGAACATAAATTGGTATCATTCTAAAATGAGAAAAGAAAGTGAATATTACATATTTACTTCGTAAAATGAACTGAAAAATGTGAAAATAGCCGATATACATTTTCGTCGTGAAGTAAGATGATGACGGACATTTTTCAGACATAGTTGCCTCTTCAGAAAAAACGCATATATATGCGAGGCGCTACAAATTCTTTTCTTATTGGTGAAACGATATTATATCTTATTGGTGCATTAACGTTAAATCGTCTCAAAAAGATGACTTAACTCTATTTTATAGTTTCTATCGATCTGATTGGTTAATTCAGTTTTATCGTGTTCAGTCTGTTCGGGACCTAAGAAGAGAAACAGAAGAGAAGAAAAGCATACACAGATAGTTATTGTCTCTCAACGGGTGGTTTCGATCTAGGATGTCAGAAAAATAAGTGATGATGAATAGTGTCACTCATTCCCCTCTCGCACTGAGACACGAGTGGATCGGCACAGGCATAAGAGTCTGACGGCAAATAGTTTGTAGGCAACATGAATCGGTTCTACAAAAAAACATGCCATACAAAATGAACAGGTGATTAGCTGAGGCAAAGAAAGCGACAGAAGAAAACAGCAAAAGCGAGAAAATGTTAACGGTAGTTTGTTTGATTATTCTATATGTTAACTCTTTGAGTACTGGCATCCTGAATAAAGAACACTTTTGTCAAATCTCTTAAGTTTTAAATAACTTGCTAACACGAAATGATATTGAGATGCAGTTTCCTCCCGGATATAGAGAAGACTTCGATACATGTATCTGTATAAGAGTTATTATCTTATTGAGGTAACCTAAGTGATAAGCCTGATGAGGTTTTGGATCACTACTTCCGTTTTTAGGAAGAAGAAGGATGAACAATGTCCTATGGCGTCTTTCAAAATATCCTGATTATCCATATTGGAATCCAGTTAAGAGTAACTTCTAAGCATATTCCCGAGGTTGATTTTTCGACATCTCTCGATCGAATTTTGAATCCAACTTGTACTCTCTAAAAAAGCTGTTAGCGCGATCCCTTGCGGGATTAAAAATGTGAAACACGATGGACCTATTATCACTAATCAAATGAACACCATTTTGTTCCATTTCTTCATGACAGATTTGTAGTTTACCGTTTATTTGATGCTTCAAAACTACAGTTTCTCTGTAGCAGTCTGGAATGGGCTCTCGCAGTTTTTCGTGACGGTCTGTAACGGTCTCTGTGATTCTCTGTCACAGTCTGCGATGGTCTCCGGGTTTCTCTGTCACGGTCTATGATGGTTTCTGTGGTTCTCTGTAGCAGTCTGTAATCAGCTCAGGGAGTTCTCTGTTACAGCTTGTGACGGTCTCTGGAGTTCTCTGTCACGGTCTGTGATGGGTAGAGGGGTCTCTCTATCACGGTATGTGATGGATAGGGGGTTTCTCTGTCACGGTCTGTGATGGGTAGGAGATCTCTCTGCCACGGTTTGTGATAGATGGGGGGTTTCTCTGTCACGATCTATGATGGGTAGGGGGGATTTCTCTGTCACGGTCTGTGATGGGTAGAGAGGGGTCTCTCTGTCACGGTATGTGATGGGTAGGGGGGTTTTCTCTGTCACGGTCTGTGATGGGTCTCTGAAGTTCTCTGTCACAGTCTGTGATGGATCTCTAGAGTCCTCTATCACGGTCGGTGAAGGGTCCGGAGGTTCTCTGTCACGATCTGTGATGGGTATGAAATTTCTCTGTCACGGTCTGTGGGGGGGGGGGGGGGG